TATTGAACACTGGGTTCAAATAAACTTTTTTTTTATGACTGAATGCCCTATACTTTATAAAAAAGTGTCTCTCAAAAATTGCAAAAATAGCAGATCTAGTTCAACACGTCATATTGGTTAATATAGCAGACAGACAAGCTAACAAAATGAGCAATAAAGGAATGTTTTTAGACATATAAGGTTTCCATCGTAAAGCAAATACTTCCTGATCTACTATTTATTTATTGATTGAATTTATTGATCTTACAGTGGAGAAATGTACTCGTTACATCAGCTCAAATTTGTCAAACGAGAAGAAGAAAGTGCCAAATGAAAAAAAGGTGCATGGGATATATACGGTATATACAGTGCATCAATATATGACAGTTTTTTTTTCATTTATGAAAGATACATTACACACAGATCAATAAAATGGTGAAAAAAGCAAAGAAAAATATTCTTCTTTGGCTTTATTTCTTCAATTTTCCCCTTGGTTATCGCTTCTCAGGGGTCAAAGCAGATTTAAATTCACAGGATTTCAACAGAAATGTTGAAATATTTAAAGGAAACAGAGAAAATAATTTAACACGTTTTGTTTCGACAATACAAGGAAACATTTACATTACATTATTTGCTCTTCCATTTGGGTATGAAAATAGGCAGGAATTTCCCAAAATTGTTAAGAGGTTAATCACTCTTTTGGGTAAATTGGAAAAGAGCTTTAAGTTTTTTTTTTGTTTTGTTTTTACTACTTGTAGTCGTTAAATTTTAAAGTCATAACATGTAAATGTTTATTTAAAGAACTTCTCCTGATTTAGTCCCCAAGATGGCTTGAAATAGGATATTAGCAGCCCAATGGAGGTAACTGGAATAAATGGTAACTGGAAAATCTGTCATTGCAAAAAAAAAAACAAACAAACAAAAAACTACAGCACAAAAATTAGACCAGCAAATTCAAAAAATAGAGCAACAGATAAACACATGCAAAGGAAAAATCCTGCAAAGGACAAATGAAGCAATCCAGGAAAACAAAGAGCAGCAAAGCAGAAATATCCTGCAAACACAGAAAACAGGCAACAGAAAAATGCTGCAAGTAGAAAAAAGAAAAGAAGATCTGGAAACTATTGTCAGGAATCCAGTTCATGTGGTCTGTTTTTGTGTTTCTTTTTCTCCACCACCAGGTGGTGCCCCGTCCTCGTTGGCCCCTGAGCCTAACCTTGTGTTTTTGTCTTTGCCTTTTCGGCAGGAAGTCATCCTGCAAGCTTGATTTTTTGACCTTCTTCCCCTGGAAGGATTCTTTGAGTCTCACACTGAGCGGGGGATTAATCTCCACAAGCTCAGTTCAAGTTCTCCAGGATTTCCGAGTGACAGTCCCCTAATACTCCCCGGGTCCAAC